GCATGCTTGTCATTGGCAGCTTTGACTTTCGTGCCGTGCCTCCTGTTTCGCTTGTGAACCGTTCCCAGTTGAGACAGTTACAGTTAGATGATCCTGTTACAGGCCCTTAACTCAGGGACATTGAATCAGAGTCACGGAATGACCCAGATAGTGACAGCCTCTCTCACTATGTTGTGCATGATTCTCTCCTGTATTGTAAAGACTAAGTCCAAATGTGCTTTCCACCCGTTGAATGAGTTAAAACTGTTTGCCCCAACAACTGCTGTGAGAGGCGCCTTTCTGGACTATTACCATGATCGCCCCACTGCAGGTCACCTCTGTGTTTCTAAGACTTTGGCTAGACGGCTTTTCAGGTTTTTCTGGCCCAAGATGAGCGCTGATTTAAAACGCTACATAACTTCATGTTCTGTCTGCCAGTTCACTAAGCCAAGTCAAAGAAAGCCTGCAGGTTGTATGATTCCCATTGTACCTCAAAGACTTTGTGGGTGTTGATTTTATTGGCTTACACCTTACACCCGAGACTGACACATTACACTTCAGAAGAGAGTCCGGTAAGATTAGAGTTGAATTCAACCAAGTCAAACAGCGTTGTGACATATATAGCAGTGGTTTACAGACACATGAAGTCCTTCCTATTCAGTTGCTCCAAAGCATAGTTCAGCATTTAGGCTTCCAGGCACAGGCCGTGTTAATAAAACATCAGGAAACCAGGTGAGGTCATATTTGAGGTCAGACTGATACTGTGTTGAATATTTGAGCGTCTAGCTTTATGTGGCTGGGAGCAAGGGAAAGGAGTTGCGACACATTCTGGATGTACGTCACACACAGCCAGCGTGTGGACGACGCACGTGTGGCTCAGCTGTGCACGGGTATGCGTGAATATTTCCTCCAAACACGCTGCTGGGTGGAATGTTGTAGTGTGCAGGCTGCTAACGCTTTGCTAGGTGCTTGTGGTGTTGGGTTTCAGTAGGTGTTCCAGGCTGTGACCCTGGCATATCTGCGTTTGTTTTATGTCACAGCCCCTCCCTTTGGGGAGATGACAGTCCTGCTTCGCCTGAGGGGATGAAACCTGAGATAGGGAGAGCTTAGGAATAAACAACAACTCCTTTATGAGGCGGGCCGCTTGATGCATTCACACATCTGACAGAGCGAGAGAGACAAAAGATTTTCTGGTTAGGGCAGTGGCTCCCGAAAAGTGGGATCCCTGCTGTGCAGCGCTTTTAATGGGGGCCACATATGGTTAAGCCACAACAAAATAAGTTTACGTTTTAATTTCAAAATTACAGTGAGAACAGCTTCAAAATGTTCACCAAAAAATTGTTGTATAACTAGTAGCCTGTGGATCAGTTCATGGGTGTAGCATACTTCAAGAATTTGAAAAATGTGTTTTGTTAATTTAAAGATGGTAATCTCACTTTTTGAGCATGGAATTTATTTTCAAGATTTTCAATTTCCACACAATAAAACAGTACAATGGCATTGTAACGGTTTAGGAATCACACCAAATAAACACCGTTCTAAATAAAAGCCACAATTACGTATCACTAACATGAGACTATCTTACAGAAAGCATGTAAACGGCAAATAAATTACATTGCCACCCCCCACCCCACCACACACACACACACATACACCACAATAGTCACATTTCCACAAAGTAGATGTGGACGTTTTTTGGTTGTTTGTTTGTTTGTGTTGTTATTTTTTGGTGGGGTTAACATCTTTATTAAGCCATTACAAACCCAAAGTCTGCTTTAGGTCCAGACCAAACAAGCAATCTAAAGGTCTTTTCTGGTGCGAAAACACCTATAATGGAAACTCAAAATCACTGCAAAAGTAAATAAAAAACATAATTACCAAAATCCAATCCTATCCTGCAGTACAAAAAGGTTAAATAAATGGCATTTAAATTAAAATGTTCCTCGAACAATTTAATTAACGTGTTCAGAACTGTGCTGCGTATGTTTGAAAGTCAGTTCACTATTTTGATTTTCCCCTCAGGTAAAAGTAGGCTACTGTGTGACAAATGAACAATTTGGATGATAGGATTATAAAAGTATGGCTTTTTATCCCCCCCCCCCCACAACAACAAAAAAAAAAGTCACGCAGAAAGACTCAAGTATTTCAATAGTTGTCCTTACTCAAGACTTCAAAGCAAATTTGAATCCGAGATGCTTTTATGTATTCCTAAATGTGTTTTTGATGCTGATTTGAAACTCATCTTTCCTTTTTGTTTTGTAGCACAGCAGGTATTTGAGATATTTTTATTTTTTACTTTTAAGATTGACCTATAAAAGCTTGCACCGTATGGATTTTACAATGCATAGTAACTTATAGCTACAATGTTTCAGGAAAAAAAAAATCCACCTGTTGCTGAACCTACTATGTTACATATTATTGTTATTGTTATTATTACTACAGAAATGTGATTTGCTACAGAAAAAATAGGGCAGATTCCGAAACAGGGCAAAAGAAATTAATGAAATCTAAAAAAGCTTACTTACATGTCTGATTTTTTTTAAATGGTAAAAAAATGTTGGCCAATGTTATTTGTGACTTTATGGAGGGTCAGAAAATGCCCTCCACTTCTGGACTAACCCATTATTATTTGCATCAGTGAGTTAATCCAATTCCTCTTTAAAATGTCATTTGATTGGATGCAAACTATTCGATCGATGATGCTTTAAGAAGGCACAGCCGCTTCGCAGCACAGCTAGTAAATGATTGACACAAACCCGGACGGTCTGTCTGCATCCTCTCCATCTCAACTATAAGCTGTCTCCCGTGCCGTGGCCAGGTCCTTCAAAGGCTGCACTTCAACCGCCACTTTACCAACTCAGTTATTTCAAAGGGCCTTTCAAGAAATGTGGCCTTCTTTCTCTCTCCCCGAATAAATTTGGAAATGGCTTGAAATCAAGAGAGGTGTACAGGTAGTCTGCCATTGAAGTGATGATGCAGTGATTCAATTCTGAAATTAATTCATTCGAATATTTGTGTGTCACAGTTGCTATAGTGTTGTTTTTGGCGTTGTTTCCTGAGTGTGTGTTTGCCTGACTTCCTGTTGCTGCTGGCTTTTAAATTTGCCATTGGAGCAGCCGAGCGGGCGTGGCTGGCATGTTATGTTTTTTTTCAATGGCCTGTGTGGAAGGCATAAATGATTGTTGTGTCAGAAATCTGCCTAGCAACAAGTGGCTGGCAAGACTCTTTTATTTTATTTTATTTTTTATGCTTTTCAGTCAGTGACAATGTACAGCAACATGATGTAACTTAAGCATGTCTGTTTTATCCAATATAATGAACATGTTGCCAAATATCTGCATTCTTTTTTTAAACTTAAATCGAGAAAAATTAGTTAATTCTACATTTATATAATATCAATAAAACGAGAAAAATAAGTGTTGAAATGCTCGTTTTTCTTTCCAAAAGAGTACTTTTAGTTTGTAACAGTAATGGCTAAGCAACTTGTCTTCATGTAGCAAGGAAAGTTGAAAATGTTACAGCCGGCCATGGTTGTCAGTGTTTTGTTTGACGCTGCTTGGAGTTGCTGTCAGCTGCTTGCTCTTATTCTCTTGGTCCATTGAAAGAGTTTGGGCGCCGCACTCTTTCTTTTGTTGTTCAACACAGCCGTGTGCCTCCACTACAGTCAGGTCCCTTCCCCCCAGCCAGCTCTTTCGTTCTTTTTTTTTGCCACCCATCCTCCCATCTCTCTCTAAATGTTCACCAAAAAATTGTTGTATAACTAGTAGCCTGTGGATCAGTTCATGGGTGTAGCATACTTCAAGAATTTGAAAAATGTGTTTTGTTAATTTAAAGATGGTAATCTCACTTTTTGAGCATGGAATTTATTTTCAAGATTTTCAATTTCCACACAATAAAACAGTACAATGGCATTGTAACGGTTTAGGAATCACACCAAATAAACACCGTTCTAAATAAAAGCCACAATTACGTATCACTAACATGAGCCTATCTTACAGAAAGCATGTAAACGGCAAATAAATTACATTGCCACCCCCCACCCCACCACACACACACACACATACACCACAATAGTCACATTTCCACAAAGTAGATGTGGACGTTTTTTGGTTGTTTGTTTGTTTGTGTTGTTATTTTTTGGTGGGGTTAACATCTTTATTAAGCCATTACAAACCCAAAGTCTGCTTTAGGTCCAGACCAAACAAGCAATCTAAAGGTCTTTTCTGGTGCGAAAACACCTAAAATGGAAACTCAAAATCACTGCAAAAGTAAATAAAAAACATAATTACCAAAATCCAATCCTATCCTGCAGTACAAAAAGGTTAAATAAATGGCATTTAAATTAAAATGTTCCTCGAACAATTTAATTAACGTGTTCAGAACTGTGCTGCGTATGTTTGAAAGTCAGTTCACTATTTTGATTTTCCCCTCAGGTAAAAGTAGGCTACTGTGTGACAAATGAACAATTTGGATGATAAAAGTATAGCTTTTTATCCCCCCCCCCCACAACAACAAAAAAAAAAGTCACGCATTTTATTTTTTATGCTTTTCAGTAAGTGACAATGTACAGCAACTTGATGTAACTTAAGCATGTCTGTTTTATCCAATATAATGAACATGTTGCCAAATATCTGCATTCTTTTTTTAAACTTAAATCGAGAAAAATTAGTTAATTCTACATTTATATAATATCAATAAAACGAGAAAAATAAGTGTTGAAATGCTCGTTTTTCTTTCCAAAAGAGTACTTTTAGTTTGTAACAGTAATGGCTAAGCAACTTGTCTTCATGTAGCAAGGAAAGTTGAAAATGTTACAGCCGGCCATGGTTGTCAGTGTTTTGTTTGACGCTGCTTGGAGTTGCTGTCAGCTGCTTGCTCTTATTCTCTTGGTCCATTGAAAGAGTTTGGGCGCCGCACTCTTTCTTTTGTTGTTCAACACAGCCGTGTGCCTCCACTACAGTCAGGTCCCTTCCCCCCAGCCAGCTCTTTCGTTCTTTTTTTTTGCCACCCATCCTCCCATCTCTCTCTCGCTCTCTCTCTCACTCCATTTCATCCATCCAGGGTGACGCCAGTCACCCCGCCCCGTTCAACTCAGTCCACCGCGTTCATTTCATTCCTGCTCCCATTCCGCGCATATTTCGCATCCTTGGAGGGACCCGGCGCATTTTACGCACTCAGCACGCCCGATTCTCCGTCAAACCAAAACCGAGTGGACGCTCCCAAGTTGCCGGGGGACCTTCCACATGCTGCGGATGCACCCGTGTGCGCAAAAGTGGGGGAATTTAGCGATTACAAGGCCAATGAATCGAGGTAAGTTATCCAGGCGGAGTCCCCTCCTCCGCTTTTCGCTTGTAAACCGCCGGACGAACAGCTCCAAGTGCTCAAAAACAGTTTCGTCGACATCGAGAGGAAGATACAGTAAACTCACTCACATAAAGCACATTTTTTCAGTGTATCTCCAAGAATATGAAAGTATTAAGTGTTTGTCGTGTGCACCTCAGAGCCTCCGGTGTCGCTTTCCTTCCACTTTGAGTTGCGATTCCCAAGATACAAATGTTGTTTTCTTCCCTCAAACGGAAGCATCGGTGGGGTTTCCGAACAGTGGCTGGCCGGTTCGTGGAAAAAGCAGAAGGCGTCGAAACACGCAGGCATTGCAGGCAGTTTACAAAGCTGAGAGTCAATGGAGGACTTGTTGCATCGGCGGCTTTTCTCTTGCTCGGCAGTCGGGGAGGAGGGAGGGAGGCGGGTAGGAAGACAGGCAGGCAAGCGGCGGGCAGGCCCCAGGCACTGCACACACACAGGCCACAGCCTCCCTTCACCTACACGCACGCACACATGCTCAGAGTACTACACTACGTTACCAAAAAAAAAAAAGACTTAAAAGGTTAAATTACTTTAGGAATGTCACTTTGTTATCACGTTGTGAACTCGCTGAATTAATGTTAACCCTTTAGGCGTCAGGGGGTTTTTTTTTCAATAAAATATTCAGGTTTGATTTTTCAAAAGCACGCAGTTTGAAATTGCTTCCAGAGAATGGTATATTGTAAATGTTGCTTCTTGCACTGTTGCTACTTTGGCACTGAAAGGGTTAAAAACGGAAATGGTGATGCTTCCAGGCATTATCCTTCAACATTATCCAGAAAATCACAATTTATTATGATTGTATTTTCTCCATTGGTATATTATTGGAATGACTGTTTGTCATTCTTATGGCAAGATGTCAAGATTTCTGTGTACTTAGTATGAGTATTAGTATTATCTGTAGGTTCGATACAAATATGGAAGCGTCAAACTGCTAATGTGGAGTAAAAATATTTGACTGGCAGATACGTTCCAACAAATGGAAATATATTTCATGCTTTTATTATATCTTCAGCGCATGATATCCGTTCAGTATTTCTCCCATAATGCCGCGGGGTATGCGCATGCACAAGTCAATAGCTCATGACATTGTAGGAAAAAAATGACAAATGAAAATCATGAATTCCAGACATCATGATAAAATCATAAAATTATGAATAAACAATGTTTACTTCCTTAAATAGAGGCTCAATGCTAAAAACAAACACTGTTTTTTTAGATGTGCATTCCAACACCCCATGGCATTATGGGATAAAAATGCTACATTTTTAGCATTGAAAATGTACCAGTAGGTTTCAGCGTATTTACAAGTACATTCAAATGTGCTTGCAAATAAGTACAAACATATTTAAATACGTTCAAACGTACTTGCGGCTATGTTCAAACGGATTTGCCAGTAAAAATGTTTTACTCCACAATGACATACATTTTAGAGCTGAAATTAGAGTAATTAATGTTTTATTGACTTGCAAGCAGTCTGGGGTTAACCCCACCTTTCACCCAAAGTCAACTCGGATAGGCTGGCATGCAGTAAATAGCATGCACAAAATGGATGGATGGACAATATTCAATTTGCCACCGGAACCGGTACTTCCAATTGTGACGTTAAATTACCATACTTTGGTGAGCTATTGTTTGAGTTGCTCTTGTATGGGTCACAAGCAGTGGCGGGCCGTGCATTTCAACCTTAGGCCTTCAGTGACGTCACATACATGAACACAATACTATATAGGCTCGTCAAGCAGCACTTAATTTCAGGAGCATTTAAAACCATCAAGTATGCATTCACAATTAAGAGCAGGAAACTAAATTTACAGATAGTCAAAAATAAAAAGATGATTTAAAAATACGAAATAAAATGCCACCCAAATTACGCTGTGTGATCTTAAACAAGTCTGTTCAATAAATTGCGCAATGTCGCAGTTTCATACAAGACACCAACCAAACAATAACAAAACAAACTGTTCTTTGAAAATAAAGTAAACAGATCATTTGCATTTTGAAAATCGGCGATTCAACAGCAAATAACTGAAAATGTTGAGCAGCTGAGATTGAACGAACTTTCGTGCACGAAGGTGACTACAATGCGCCATTATAAATTGCAGGTGAGCAGATTTATTTGATA